TTCAGGTTGATAAACATTAACATCATTGGCATTTTTGTTTTACACCGTTGTTCTATTCAATTCCATTCAGGTTATATATATAGTGCCAAGTCACAACAGAAGTCATCTCAGGACGCTGAACAGAAACATTCATATATATAAAATAATTTAACACTATTTATCTGATGAGCAGACTGCTTGAATTTAACTCCATCACAGACTCTCATCTTGAGCAAGCATGGAGGTAACAGTGGAAAGGAAAAACTTCCTCATGAGGAAGAACCCTCATCTGCTTTGACCGGCTGGATTTGAGAGGAACAGGAAGGAGGAACAGATACACAATGGCAGGTCGAGAATCACATGTTAAGATAGAAATAATATCAAACAAAAACTATTCAATTTAACAATTCATTTAAGGAAATGTGGCCAATTTGTCCTCAGTACTCCAAGACTATGGTTCTGATGGAAATATTGTAATATTCCTGATGGATGTGTCCCATGCTGCAATATAAGAGCTACAGCTAGCTGCTGCTGCTATTTGCATTCACAGATGACAAAAGAACATACTGTAAACAAAATAATGTACTGTAAAACTGCTTTAGATGCTTTAATTGATATATTAATTTAATGTTGCTTTTAATAACAGGGATTTTATTAAAGTAAACTTACGGTGCCCCAGGTGACCTAGATAGCAGCTCTCTGCTCCACACAGAGGGCTGTGGTAGCTCAGTGGTCTGTGGTTGCATCTGGAAGGGCATCCAGCGTTAAAATAATCACCAAGTCTTCGTGCAAGATAGTTTGCTGTGGCGACCCCTGAAGAAGGGAGCAGCTGAAAGAGAGGAAGCTGTTGATTGTGGGTCTTATTATATTTTTATTATAAAGCTGACTGATCAGAGGATGCCAAAGAGAATATTTTTCCTTAACAGAATCAAATGAATTTAATCAAAAACATACATTTCCACTGAGAACTATTAACAGCATTTAGTCTGTTTATATTTACTCCCTGCAGTGCAGTAGATAAACCTGCAGAGAACACATCTAAATGAAAGCATTATTCAGCAAAATGAAAATCATCTGAGGAGGAATTACATTTCTGATGCGCAATACCACAGGAATTTCAAAAGACAAATGTAAATGCCGATACATTTTTCCTAAATTAACTCTGGCTGTTCCAAGTCAATGGTGTTTGAATATTACTGATGCGAATGAGCAGGCTGGTTTGTTTTATTGACTTTTATTCTTTGCATATAGATAAAAGCTTAATCAGCTAAAGCTTTATTCCTTCAGCACACATTTAGATGAACAAAAAAAAAAACAGAGGATGAAAGGTTGTGCTGTTGAAGGAAATGTCTGACAGACTTCAGGCTTTCTGTATTTCCCAATGAAATCCTCTTTTTTTTTTTCTTTGCACAAATGCAGATTATTCTCGTGTTGCAGGAAATGAAGGATCTCAAGGCCACACATCTGTTTGGCAGCAGAGTTCAGGAGCGTGGGTGGGACGGGGGTGCACTGAACCACATCGCATGAGTTCTGTCTACTGTATTGATTTTGTGTGCAGCTTTGTCTTCACACAAGGTGCATGTTTCATCTGTGCTTCTCTGTGTGTGTGCATACTTACATGTTGTGAAAGTGCAGGTCAGATTTATGGTGTTGATGGTGGCGGTAAATCACAGTCAGGATCAGCTGAGTCTGTTCTGCTGGCCTGCATTGCCTCAAGTCCCCAGGAAATGATACTTGTGTATGTGTGCATACGCGTGCATGCGTACGTGTGTGTGTGTAAATGTATTACTGTTGGTTTGAGTGTGCATGCTCAGGGCGGATGTATTATCATCATTATGATTGATCACGAATGATCAGATCCTCATGCATATGACATCCTGCAGTTTATTGGGATGAATGATCTCTAATAACCTTTGGTCATTTCCTCTTAACTCCTTTCTTTACTCTTCTGATTATTTTCTCTATTTTTTCTCTGTTTTCTCTCCCTTTCTTTTTCTCTATTTGTGTCAATACACAAATCTAAACTTGAAATCTTTGTTTTAGGTAAAAAAAAAAAACATGTTTATTTGCTGATGACATCTTCCTCACATGCATGTACAGTAGTCCCTCTATACTTCGTGGTTCGTTTTTCGCAGACTCACTCTTATCGCGGTTTTTCAAAAATAAGATTGGACATGACACACTGATTGATGGATGAGCCACACGATCGACATGCCATTTTTATTTAAAATGAATTACCGTCATTTCCGGAATATAAGCAGCTACTTTTTTCACACACTTTGAACACCGCAGCTTATACAATGATGCAACTAATTTATAATTTCTTTTTTTGATGGGCAAACAAGCTTCATGCCACCAAAACATTTAGCTTCGTCACACCAGGTGCTCACATAGCGCCCAATACACATCTCTCTTAGGGGGTAGTGATCAATGACTTCCTGGTAGACTACTGTATTTTTTTATCAGCTGTGTTACATACAGTGTTCAGAAAAAAAATAACATTTTCTGTATTTGTGCGTGTTACCAGTATGCATTTAATTAAAAGTAAAAAAATAAATTATGTTTAAATATCTCATGTTACAACGTGAAAACCCACAGCTTATAGACAAGTGCGGCATATTTATGTAAAATTTAAATTTTCTTCTTAAATTTAGCGTGCACGGCTTGTATTCAGGTGCGCTCAATAATCCAGAAATTACAGTATTTTAAATTATTTAGCACCTGATGAAACTACGTGCAGCCCAGAGCTGCAGAAAAAGCTTCCTCCTACAGCGTGTCATATCTCTGCTCTGCAGCGAAGAAGTGGGCGTGGCCAAGCGCGCTGACAGGTGGCAGAGTGCAGCCAGAGGCAGAGAGCTGAGATCATGATGTGCTGTGCTCTTTTAGAGTGTTTAGATTTTAGAAACATTGTTTAGAATATTGCAAGCATGTGGGAAGGGTTTAATATATATATATATATATATATATATATATATATATAATTGAAATATATATATATATATATGTATATACATAAATACTAAAACAAACAACTACTGCTTGTACTATTATTCCTACTTCGATGGTTTTCACTTATTGCGGGGCTTCAGGGCAGTGGTGTAGTCTATGCAGTACATGGGTATACTCTGTATGCCCATGTACTGCATAGACTACACCACTGTCTAGAGGGTATACTCTGTATACCCTCTAGAAAAGCTTAAGAATTTCAGTATACCCACTTAAAAGTGCTCAGTGATGCATGCCATACCATTAGACGTGTCATTGACACATTAAACGGCAAGGAAGCGCTTCTGTATCTTATGCAGAGCTTGTTTATTACATTCACTTATCCAGTAAATTATTGTAATTCTGTACTTACTACTTAATACTTGAACATGTTTTGCTTTGATACTGTTTTATAAATTCTATAATATGTTTTGAATACAAAGCCAACTATTGTACAAAGTTTGTTGTTCATTTATTCAAATATAAGCATCAGAGAAATTTGGAAATGTTCAATATGCTTAAAAATCTAAATAAATTGATGAGTACATTGTACTAACTGGTGTACTTTGGTTTCTAAGCACAGTATACCCACTACGAAAATGTAGACTACACCACTGCTTCAGGTATAGATCCCCTGCAATAAACAAGGGACTACTGTATTCCCAAAGCATCTAGTCAACTTCAATTTCCATTACTTGCGACAGATCAAAGCCATAGTTCAAATTTTTGAATGCCTTGGTATAGATAGCTTTTTGAACAATCTGAGTTATAGAAATAAAGTTTAATTCTGACTAGATGAACTAGCTTACAGCCAGTTGAGTAAGGTAAGGTAAATACTAAGTGGATCCACTTACCTTACCTTACTCAAACTAGCTGTAAGCTAGTTCATCTAGTCAGAGTGTTTATACCTCTAGATATGCCTGATCTCCATCTCCACCAGTTAAGGTAAGGGTGATAAGTTGGGTTTAAGGTAAGGGTTAGGACAAAGTCATTGTAGTGTGTAGAGGTCATGTTTTCAGTGGAAATTCCCTCTAAAATGGATCGCTACCATCTTAAAACAATTCTAATCAGAAAAGTTTTATAACAGCTTATGCAAATGCCTTTTTTTATAAACCTTTACACAGCTGTATGGTTTGAGTAACACTTGACTTGTGGTTCAGTTTGGCTATAGATGATTTAGCATCTTGATGGTAAAGTTTGGGGTGAAGGCTTTAATGAAGCTTCAAGGTCTTCAACACAGTGCTCTTAGCTGAATAAACCTGTAGATCCTTAGCTGTTGAAGCAGACACAGAATTGTTGGGTCGCTTCGTTCTCTCTAAGTTGGAGGACAATTCAACCACGTCTTATCACTTCTTGACTGATTAGTCACACAAGCTATGCTCATTGAGGTTAAAGTTGGTCAGGGTGAATATTAGACAGTAAAGTTCTCATTTAAACTGTAAAATGTGCATATTTCATTTGTGTTATGCAGATTTTACACAGCAGCACATCAAATAATTGATGCAAAATGCTCAAGACAAACTTGCTTTTTCAAAGTAACTCACATTGAAGTTACCACTTCACTGTATTCATTCAACTAAATCAGCATACGTACAAGGATTTGGTATGAATAAAACACTCTAAACATAAACTACATAAATAGTTCAAATAAAAAACTAAGTTATTGTTTTTACTGTGATGTAGTTAGTTTAGTTTAAACCAAAATGTGTGCAGACATGAAACTATAGTCGTTTTATTAGCAGCGTTTAAGATTTCTCCTCTCGACATTTATCTGTGTGAGAAGACCAGAGGAGCTACGTCCTCATTTCTCAGAGCAGACACACTGCCTTCAGTGTGTGTGTGTGTGTGTGTCTGTGTGTGTGTGTGTGTGTGTGTGTGTGTGTGTGTGTGTGTGTGTGTGTGTGTGGGTTGATTGATGTTGATGCACTTGAGAGAGGCTGATCTACTCTTCATGGGATCTCATAAAACTGTATGCCTGCTGCCCACACACAATAAACAAACAACTGAGGTAAAAATGTGTGTTTGTGTGTGTGTAGGTTCAGAAGTTTGGCACCCCATGTGTAAAGAAGCAGCTCGACTGGAGAGAAAACTGAGGGTGAGTGCCCTTCCTCTCTATTTTTGTTCCTGTTCCTCCTCTGCATCCATCATGTCTGAGCCTTTAATGTTTCAGTCTGGATGTAAAGGTTTTGTTTTTTTTGCAACACAATAAACAAATTCATTATTAAATAGACCTTTAACATCTTATACCATGTAGATATTAAATAGTTGCATCTGTTAAAAGAAAGATGAATAAAACTGATATTTATAAACCATTCATAAGGGAAATGAGAGTCACAGACATGAAAAAAAACAATAAATAGGAAGCTTTCAAACCAGCAATTCAGTAAAGCCCATAGAGTTTGATTAATCTATTAAACATAAGTCCTAAAATTGAACATCTGGAACCAAAAACACGTTTTTCAGTGAATACTATCCCAATTAAAAAGTGATAGAAGACCAAAATCATGATATTATCTCTTCTGCTTCATGTGCGTTTGTTCAGCCATCCAACATAAGCACAGTAAGTTTGTGTTGATGTGCCATGCTTTTTTTCTCTTATGTTTTTGCCAAACACAAAAGTGTGCGTTAATGATACACATTTCTAGTTTAGTCCATAGCACGTTTTTTTTATTTATTGTTTCTTCAGATCCAAATATATATCCACCGTTTGCAAAGGCTTTGTGCAAGAGTACAGACAATGCTAGTTTCCCCCTTCTCCTGGATGCTGTGGAGGTGGGGAGAAACAGTATAATCAAGGTAGGTAGTTGATAGAGCATGCACTAAGGTGCAAACCAGCCACTAGAGAGCACAAGCCAGTGTATCTTGTGCCAGTCCTAACCCAGGTTAAGGAAGAGGGTTGTGTCAGGGAAGGGCATCTGATGTAAAACACCTGCCAAAACTAGCACGAGTTAATCTAAGTGACATCATACTGGATCGGCCAAGGCCCAGGTTAAAAACGACCACCACTGGTTCTGTTGACAAACAGGGTGCCGGCAGAAATTGGAAATGTTGGAAGCTGAGGAAGGAGTTGTGAGGAGTTCAGAGAGGAGCTGTTAAAGGATATGGGTGGTAAGAAAGAGCTTCCAGGTGATTGGACTACTACAGCAACAGTAACTAGCAAGACAGGTAGGAAGGTACTTGGTGTGTCATCTGGACAGAAAATGGATGATAAGGAAACCTGGTGGTGGAATTGTGAAGTGCAAGAAGCTGATCAAAGAAAGAGGTCAGCGAAGAAGAAATATGACAGTAAGAGGACTGAAGAGAGGAGACAGGAATATATGGAGATGGGACATGGAGCAAAGAGGGAGATAGTTAAAGCAAAGCAGAAGGCATATGATGTCATATGGGAGGCCAGACACTAAAGAGGGCAAGAAGGACTTGTACCGATTGGTGAGACAGAGGGATCAGGCTGGAAAGGATGAGCAGCAGGTTAGGCTTGTTAAAGATAGGAATGGTAATGTTCTAACAAGTGAGGAGAGTGTGATGGGAAGATGGAAGGAGTACTTTGAGGAGCTAATGAATGAAGAGAATAAGTGAAAGAAGAGTAGAGGTCATAGAAGCTGTGAATTAGGAAGTGGGAAAGATTAGTGAGGGTGAAGTTCAGAAAGCTTTGAAAATTAAAAGGGGAAGGCAATAGGACTTGATGACATACCAGTAGAGGTTTGGAAATGTTTTGGAAAGATGGCAGTGAAGTTTTCAATGGCATATTTGAGAGTGAGAAAACTCCTGAGGAATGGAGGTGAAGTGTGCTGGTGCCCATTTTTAACAATAAGGTTGATGTACAGAGTTGTAGGGGAATTAAGTTGATGGGCCACAGCACAGGTTGAACAACTGGGAGATAAAGTTAGAGAGGCCAGACTGAGATGGTTTGGACATGTCCAGAGGAGGGACAGTGGGTATATTGGTAGAAGGATGTTAGAAATGCAGCTGCCAGGAAAAGAAAAAGAGGAAGGCCAAAGATAGATGCAGTTAGAGAGGACATTGAAGTAGTTGGAGTTAGGACAGAGTGAGAAGGAGGAGGATGACTCGTGTGGTGACCCCTGAAGTGGGAAAAGCCGACAGAAGATCCAAATGTGCAAACACCTTTGTTTTTTCTTTATTGTTAAGATATTTTCACATGACAATTGTTCCAAAGATGTTTGACATAAAATATGTTAAATGAGACTCATGTTAGAGCATTTAGAAGTGTTTTCTCCATACGAATATGCGTCACACACATTGACTTCAAGTTATGGAGATGTCCATTTCTGGAAAATATCTTTATTTTTTCCGATTGTTAAAACTCTTCAAATGATTTTCTTGTCCAATTAAAAGAAATATCTCCTTGCACCCTTCCAGATTAATGGGCAGTAGCAGATACTTCTCTAAGCTCATTCCTCAAGTGATTCCTTCTTGACATTGTGTTCACACACAGTCACTCCCCAAAACAGCAGAAGTTGGGACAAATTTCTGCTTTTAAATGTTCAATGCCTTTTATTAGCTGCTCCTATTTGCTCCTAACATATAAAGGTCTGCTTACTTTTTACATGCTGGTTCTGGATTTTGCCTTGCTTTTGTAAAAGTAATGACACGTTTTAATATATCCTGTGCTGTTCAAATGAGAATATTTACCTGGGAAAGACTGGGATTTATTTTTTATGTTTTGAAACCTACAATCTTAGAAACTGATATTTTTATTTGATTGTGATGTGACATTATTAATCAAATAAAAAAATACTAGTCAACTTATCACAATAAACTCCAACTCATCACTAACTGCTGTGTTGGAGCAAATTTTATTTTGACTTTTGGCTTTTATGACCCGCCAGCTGAGACGTACCTCCGAGACGGCGTCTATATCTCCTGCAGGCTCCTCTCCCCTTCTTGGCTCTCCTCATCGACTCATCTGTGTGAGTACCTGTGACAAGTGTCACACTCACAACAGCTTTAGCTGTCTCTCTTACTGCCATTCTTTAAATATAACCATCATAAGGAAGTGTAGAGAGTCTGAAAGCTCACAGCGTCTGTTTGGCCTCGGAGCAGACTTCTATGTCTACATCTTGTTAAACTCCATTTTAAATATTCTATTTAAATGTTTTTTTATTATTATCATTAAATTGTACATGTGGCTTTTTAGTGGTCTCAGTTCCCATTTGTGTTTGTATTTTTGTGTCCCTCCATTCCTCTTACAGTCTAAGACTTACAGTGATGTTTTAAGTAGCTGGCAGCTCTGCCCAGTGTCATATATGCAGCAGCCAGACATCATTTCTTATCAGGCCGACCACGCACACACACAGATCTCAGTCGGCTTCAGCTGTGGACAGGTACACAAACACACACACAGATGGAACAGTTTGATTTGAAGTTATTAAACAGAAAGTAAACTGACCACAAGTCTAGTTTACTGTAACAAAAGGTTTTCTGTTCTTTGTCTGATGCAGTCATTTGGCTCCTTATCACCACATTCACACCCAGCAGTCATAAACATACCAAAAGGCAAGCGTTGCTTCTTAAAAGTAAATAAATAAATATTTTTTGGGGTTTTTTTTTCTGTGTGTTCAATACAGCTTGTTGTGTATACTGTAATCAAAGGCTTTCCTATTGGCAAGTCTGTTCTGGTGGAATTCACTCAGTATCTTCCTGGAATCTGTTAATTGGGTTTAAATGGAGGAGAAGGGCAGGATATTGATGGTGTTAAGGGTCTTCTCCAATAAGGCAGTGAGGCAGATCAAATGAGAAAGGGAAGAGGAAACTTGCCTCAATGTTATCATCATGAAGCAAGAATACAGACTAAAGGATGTTAGATGCAAATGGGGGATGGGGGTCCTGCAATGCAATCAGCTGGATATGACCACCACATGTGTGGGAACGTGGCGCTGTGAACCAGAACTGGGAATGAGCAGTGCTGGTTGGACTGACATTACTGTAAGCAGAGGGAGTGAAGGCAACGGACAAGAGTAAAAGGACAAAAGTATGGAGAGAGAACGGTAGCTGAGCAGAACCTGAAATTTACTTTTCACTCTGGTTGTGATGCCTAACATAAAAGTAGAACAAAAATGGCATTACCAGTATTCACAGGTGCACTTGACCGTACTTGACTGGTCCTGCATTTTTATAGCTTGACATATTTTACAGGTTTTCAGATTGGAGGTAAATGTCTGTTAGCAGATCTGCCTCTGCTATTATCAAATGGAGACCCAGATGGCACAGATGTTGACCAAGGAACAAAACACAAGGAGTTTTGCTGTAAATTATATATAAAAAAATATATCAGAGTCAGAGTTTCTTTATTGTCATTCGCACCTCATGTGGTACAAGTGGTGGAGCGAAATTATGTACACAGGGTCCCAGTTACATCCAACAATAAAATGTAAAAGAAAAACAGTAATAACATCTAAGATATGAACTAAGAAAAACATCAACTAAATATACACTGAGCACTCATAAAATAAAAACATTACGTCGAACATCAGCACAAACATGCTGATGACAATGAATATATATATATATATATATATATATATATATATATATATATATATACACACATTTTTGGTGTAGTATGTTCTCAGTATCTACTGATGTTTGTGCTCAGCAGCACTAATATTTAAAAAATACACAAGTATTTTTTCCTCCCCAGGTCCAGATGACCTGACTGAATATTGTTGGATTTTATATCTGGATTATTGAACATGAACTGTGGTATTTTTTCATCCATTCTGTTGGTTACCAGGCTAAAATATTTACCATAATGATGAAACACAGTTCTCCCAATAGAGTCAGAGTCAGAGTCAGAGCTTCTTTATTGTCATTCGCACCTCATGTGGTACATGTGGTGGAGCGAAATTATGTACACAAGGTCCCAGTTACATCCAACAATAAAATGTCTAAGAAAAACAGTAATAACATCTAAGATATGAACTAAGAAAAACATCAACTAAATATACACTAAGCACTCATAACATAAAACATTGAACATCAGCACAAACATGAACATGAGTCTGTGAGCAGATGTGCACGCATGAACACATCAACATTGAAACAGATCAGCAGCAACATGAAACAGATCAGCAGCAACATGATATGTTTTTTCACAGTGATTATTCTAGTTAGAGATTCATGAGTCTAACAACCTCAGGGTAGAAGCTGTTCCTCAGTCTAGTGGTTCTACACTTAATGCTCCTTAACCTCCTTCCTGAGGGGAGTGGGGCAAAAAGTGTGTGTGCTGGGTGAGTGGGGTCCTTCATGATGCAGGTGGCCCTCTTCCTGCATCTGGAGGTGTAGATGTCTGTGATGGTGGGGAGACTGATTCCAACAGATTTCTGTGCATCCTTCACCACTCTCTGCAAAGCTTTTCTTTCTGCAGCTGTGCAGCCTCCATGCCACACGTTGATGCTGGAGCACAGGATGCTCTCCACTGTAGTTATAATAATGATAAAATATGTTGTGTTTACTGTCCTCAGTCACAATTTGCACATTAAATAATGCATCAAACATGTTGGGGGCCGAGAAGGGGTAGAGGCAGGGCAGCCGACTCGAGACCCGAAAATCCCAGGTCTGATCCCCAGTCATTGCACATCTCGTGGTGTCTCTGAGCAGGACACCTTATCTCCAATTGCTCCCCGGGTGCCTTCAAGAGCTGCTCACTGCTCCACCTGGTGGTGGATGAGTTAATTGCAGAGAGCCAATTTCGGCATTGTATGGGAACATACAATGATGACAATACACAACACATTATTATTATTATTATTATTATTATTATTATTATTATTATTATTATTATTATTATT